TACTGTCACTATGGCGGTGTGTCCACTCACAGGATGAGTGGCGCTGCCCAATACTGTCACTATGGCGGTGTGTCCACTCACAGGGTGAGTGACGCTGCCCAATACTATCACTATGACGGTGTGTCCACTCACAGGATGAGTGGCGCTGCCCAATACTGTCACTATGGCGGTGTGTCCACTCACAGGATGAGTGGCGCTGCCCAATACTGTCACTATGGCGGTGTGTCCACTCACAGGGTGAGTGACGCTGCCCAATACTATCACTATGGCGGTGTGTCCACTCACAGGATGAGTGGCGCTGCCCAATACTGTCACTATGGCGGTGTGTCCACTCACAGGATGAGTGGCGCTGCCCAATACTGTCACTGGCGGTGTGTCCACTCACAGGATGAGTGGCGCTGCCCAATACTGTCACTGGCGGTGTGTCCACTCACAGGATGAGTGGCGCTGCCCAATACTGTCACTATGGCGGTGTGTCCACTCACAGGATGAGTGGCGCTGCCCAATACTGTCACTGGCGGTGTGTCCACTCACAGGGTGAGTGACGCTGCCCAATACTATCACTATGACGGTGTGTCCACTCACAGGATGAGTGGCGCTGCCCAATACTGTCACTATGGTGGTGTGTCCACTCACAGGATGAGTGGCGCTGCCCAATAAACTCGCCCCTCGGGGGGTGAAATTTGAACTTAAACTTTACTCAATTATTGCGATTTGCTTGGCCTATATTGACTTGAATTTACCTGAAGGGTCACTAACACTCTAGTGGCCTCGATGAGGACAGGAAGCCAGCTGCTTGTCAAAGGTCCCCCCACATTTACCACGTTATTAAACAGTGGGCTACGAAGCACTACGAGGTTGTTTATAACAATAATAACCTCAGATTGTGATGTTGTGGAGCTTGACACCGGTCTAATAAATTAATTCCAAGTCGTTATGAACGAGGAAAGATGCAGTGGTTTCGTCAGTGTTCGGATTAATACTCAATGAACTCTGGTCCTGGGACGCTAGTTAAGTGCTACAAATTGCTGTACTGCTTTCTTATAGATAGATCATGTTATTGGGGTTTAATGTGATTGGGAACATGTGTTCATTCCTGGGTGTGTGTTCTCACCTAGTTGTGATTGCGGAGGTTGAACTTTGCCTCTTTGGTCCCGCCTCTCAACTGTCAATCAACTGGTGTACAGGTTCCTGAGCCTACTGGGCTCTTATCATATCTACATTTGAAACTGTGTATGGAGTCAGCCTCCACCACATCACTTCCTAGTGCATTCCATTTACTAACTACTAACACTGAAAAAGTTCTTTCTAACTTCTCTGTGGCTCATCTGGGTACTATGTTTCCTCCCGTGTCCCCTTGTTAGTGTTCCCCCCATGCTAAAGTGTTTCTTTGTCCACACTGTCAATTCCCCTGAGAATTTTGTAGGTGGTTATCATGTCTCCCCTTACTCTTCTTGTGGGAACCGACCTGTGAGATTTATATTTATTTAATTTATATGAATTTATATTTACGTTAATTTATATACTTCGATAGCAATTTGTATAATGATAAGTGGACTGTATTTCTGCAATAATCTCATAATCTCACAAATCGATCCTCTACACATTAGGGGGGGTTATTATATTAATATATATGCAGCCAATCAAACTACAGGAATTAACTACATACATTGATGAGGTTCCTTCTCTTATAGTACAGCAGGTTAGTCCACCAGGTATAACTAGAGTGTAGACACCAAATTATCCTCTTTGAGGTAGCTTCCATATCACCCAGTAACTGGTGCACAAAATCTTGCATCCTCGTCTTGACCTGTCAAAAGTGCGCTAGCTGTGAAGCCAGATACCTATATATGACAAGTATATCAGAGAAAACAGTACATGGAACATGAAGACCTGGCTTAATTACCTTTAGTTTGAGGCTTCCACGTGATCTAACCGGGTCAACCCTATATCCTGACATTAATGGCCATAAATGAATGATAAACGGGTTTCGGATAGACACTTAACTTGAATTTGTAGACAGCGTGTTGACAAATGGTACACCTTTGGTTTCCATAACACTACGTCCAAGTAAATTTAACAGGAGCCGAATTTGCTCCCGTGTGAGCCTCTGGTCTCAATAACAACAACAATGGCTGCCCTCCTCCTCCACTCTGACGCCTGGCTTACATTGTCCAGATTTCAGAAAGTGATAGAAGGGTCACATTTACTCTACTTTAATATTGATAATTAAGTTAATTTATATAAGATGTTTTTATGATGGTAAAGTCCAAAGACTAATGTATTTAAGAACAATTCCCAGCAGAATAGCTGGTGAATTATAATAGTATGTGGTGATGATATCCCGTTTTCCTTAGACGGTAATTCCACTACAAGTTACGTTTTCTATGGGTAACTTGTTGGTAATACAGCAGAAATTATTATCTGTCTGTATGATATATTAAATGGTGTCGGATTTTCCGACACTTCTCTTTTCCAGGGCTGTGAGGTTCAGCTTCTTCAGCCTTTCCTCGTAGCTCATACCTTTCAATTCTGGGACTAGTCTGGTGGCATACTTCTGAATCTTCTGTAACTCTAAGCAACTACACCAGGCTGACCACAGTGCCAGGTTGACCACAGTGCCAGGCTGACCACAGTGCCAGGCTGACCACAGTGCCAGGCTGACCACAGTGCCCGGGGCTGACCACAGTGCCCGGGGCTGACCACAGTGCCCGGGGCTGACCACAGTGCCCGGGGCTGACCACAGTGCCCGGGGCTGACCACAGTGCCGGGGGCTGACCACAGTGCCGGGGGCTGACCACAGTGCCGGGGCTGACCACAGTGCCGGGGGCTGACCACAGTGCCGGGGGCTGACCACAGTGCCGGGGGCTGACCACAGTGCCGGGGGCTGACCACAGTGCCGGGGGCTGACCACAGTGCCGGGGGCTGACCACAGTGCCGGGGGCTGACCACAGTGCCGGGGGCTGACCACAGTGCCGGGGGCTGACCACAGTGCCGGGGGCTGACCACAGTGCCGGGGGCTGACCACAGTGCCGGGGGCTGACCACAGTGCCGGGGGCTGACCACAGTGCCGGGGCTGACCACAGTGCCGGGGCTGACCACAGTGCCGGGGGCTGACCACAGTGCCGGGGCTGACCACAGTGCCGGGGGCTGACCACAGTGCCGGGGGCTGACCACAGTGCCGGGGGCTGACCACAGTGCCGGGGGCTGACCACAGTGCCGGGGGCTGACCACAGTGCCGGGGGCTGACCACAGTGCCGGGGGCTGACCACAGGGGCCAGGGGCTGACCACAGGGGCCAGGGGCTGACCACAGGGGCCAGGGGCTGACCACAGGGGCCAGGGGCTGACCACAGGGGCCAGGGCTGACCACAGGGGCCAGGGGCTGACCACAGGGGCCAGGGGCTGACCACAGGGCCAGGGGCTGACCACAGGGGCCAGGGGCTGACCACAGGGGCCAGGGGCTGACCACAGGGGCCAGGGGCTGACCACAGGGGCCAGGGGCTGACCACAGGGGCCAGGGGCTGACCACAGGGGCCAGGGGCTGACCACAGGGCCAGGGGCTGACCACAGGGGCCAGGGGCTGACCACAGGGGCCAGGGGCTGACCACAGGGGCCAGGGGCTGACCACAGGGGCCAGGGGCTGACCACAGGGGCCAGGGGCTGACCACAGGGGCCAGGGGCTGACCACAGGGGCCAGGGGCTGACCACAGGGGCCAGGGGCTGACCACAGGGGCCAGGGGCTGACCACAGGGGCCAGGGGCTGACCACAGGGGCCAGGGGCTGACCACAGGGGCCAGGGGCTGACCACAGGGGCCAGGGGCTGACCACAGGGGCCAGGGGCTGACCACAGGGGCCAGGGGCCGACCACAGGGGCCAGGGGCTGACCACAGGGGCCAGGGGCCGACCACAGGGGCCAGGGGCTGACCACAGGGGCCAGGGGCCGACCACAGGGCCAGGGGCCGACCACAGGGGCCGGGGGCCGACCACAGGGGCCAGGGGCCGACCAGTGTTGTGCTAAGCTGTGCCTGGATGACATTTCCAATGACGTCATCAACAACGACAGCGAACCACCCACAAAAATATCGGAACAATTCAGCTTACATCTCTATGTAACGCATGACCTTTCGTGCTGTATTTGTTTGTTCATTGTTTTACAGGACTGGTGTGGAACAAGAGTTCATACCCAGGTTCATTGTTCTTTTTTTTTATTTGGAAGTCGTATTCAAAGAGTTAATTGTTTTCCGTTTTTCATAATGTGTGTTTATAAGTGATTGAGTTTTTGGTATGCCATTTTGAGGCAATAAATTTTTTGTTTTTATGGGGTTGAATTCTATTTAATTCCTTATTTTATGCTATTGATTTTATGTTGAATAGAGTTCGATTATACATTTTCTTGAGTATTATGAGGACGACTCGATGCTTCTTCACAATTTCTTCATTAGATAAGTGTAAGTTACTCACTTATACTACGTCTGAATGTCCGTAGTGTAAGTGCTCCAGAAGGCACTTAAGTGCTCCTCAAATGTTATGTTTTTAAAGTTAGATTCAGACGCGTTCGAGTCATTCAACATAATCCTTCATTCATGTTTTGACTGAGGGCGTGTTGACGCCGGGCTCGGGCTTGTTATTCTTGTCCCTCACTCTCTCCCTCTCTCTCTCTCCCCTTCCCTCTTGTTTCCCTCTAAATCTGTTTCTATCCCTCCCAATCTCTCATTCTTCCCATTGCTTTATCTTTCACCTCTCTCTTTCTCTCTAACACTTTGTCGTCCTCCCTCTCTCTCCCGCCCACCTGAGACTCAGACTCTCTCTCTCTGTCTCTCTCTGTCTCTCTCTGTCTCTCTCTGTCTCTCTCTGTCTCTCTCTGTCTCTCTCTGTCTCTCTCTGTCTCTCTCTGTCTCTCTCTGTCTCTCTCTGTCTCTCTCTGTCTCTCTCTCTGTCAATGTACCTGTCACCGTGCCGTCCTCCCTCGTGCGTCGCTGACAGAGCCTCTGTGTTACAGGGTACCAGGAGTCCCGCCGCCTCTGTGATCAACCTCCCGCCAGGAACTCCGTCGAGGGCTGCGTAGGGGTCGAGGTTCGAGTCTCCCTCTGCTCCGACGACAAGGTCAGTCTCCGTGATGTGTCTCCCCCCCCCTCTCTCTCTCTGTCTCTCTGTCTGTGTGTCTGTCTCTGTCTCTCTATCCTTCATTATTCTTGTTTAAAAGAGATATCAGGTGTCAGTCCTTCTCCAAGGGTGATATCCTGTATTCGTCCTCTCACTCACTCTCCCAGGGTGATCTGGACCAGTCCTCACACTCCCAGGGTGATCTGGACCAGTCCTCACACTCCCAGGGTGATCTGGACCAGTCCTCACACTCCCAGGGTGATCTGGACCAGTCCTCACTCTCCCAGGGTGATCTGGACCAGTCCTCACTCTCCCAGGGTGATCTGGACCAGTCCTCACACTCCCAGGGTGATCTGGACCAGTCCTCACACTCCCAGGGTGATCTGGACCAGTCCTCACACTCCCAGGGTGATCTGGACCAGTCCTCACACTCCCAGGGTGATCTGGACCGGTCCTCACACTCCCAGGGTGATCTGGACCGGTCCTCACTCTCCCAGGGTGATCTGGACCAGTCCTCACACTCCCAGGGTGATCTGGACCGGTCCTCACTCTCCCAGGGTGATCTGGACCGGTCCTCACTCTCCCAGGGTGATCTGGACCGGTCCTCACACTCCCAGGGTGATCTGGACCGGTCCTCACACTCCCAGGGTGATCTGGACCAGTCCTCACACTCCCAGGGTGATCTGGACCAGTCCTCACACTCCCAGGGTGATCTGGACCAGTCCTCACACTCCCAGGGTGATCTGGACCAGTCCTCACTCTCCCAGGGTGATCTGGACCAGTCCTCACACTCCCAGGGTGATCTGGACCGGTCCTCACTCTCCCAGGGTGATCTGGACCGGTCCTCACTCTCCCAGGGTGATCTGGACCGGTCCTCACTCTCCCAGGGTGATCTGGACCGGTCCTCACACTCCCAGGGTGATCTGGACCGGTCCTCACACTCCCAGGGTGATCTGGACCGGTCCTCACACTCCCAGGGTGATCTGGACCGGTCCTCACACTCCCAGGGTGATCTGGACCGGTCCTCACACTCCCAGGGTGATCTGGACCGGTCCTCACACTCCCAGGGTGATCTGGACCAGTCCTCACACTCCCAGGGTGATCTGGACCGGTCCTCACTCTCCCAGGGTGATCTGGACAAGTCCTCACTCTCCCAGGGTGATCTGGACCGGTCCTCACTCTCCCAGGGTGATCGGGACCGGTCCTCACTCTCCCAGGGTGATCGGGACCAGTCCTCACTCTCCCAGGGTGATCTGGACCAGTCCTCACTCTCCCAGGGTGATCTGGACCAGTCCTCACTCTCCCAGGGTGATCTGGACCAGTCCTCACTCTCCCAGGGTGATCTGGACCAGTCCTCACTCTCCCAGGGTGATCTGGACCAGTCCTCACTCTCCCAGGGTGATCTGGACCAGTCCTCACTCTCCCAGGGTGATCTGGACCAGTCCTCACTCTCCCAGGGTGATCTGGACCAGTCCTCACTCTCCCTTGGTGATCTGGACCAGTCCTCACTCTCCCTTGGTGATCGGGACCAGTCCTCACTCTCCCAGGGTGATCGGGACCAGTCCTCACTCTCCCAGGGTGATCTGGACCAGTCCTCACTCTCCCAGGGTGATCTGGACCAGTCCTCACTCTCCCAGGGTGATCTGGACCAGTCCTCACTCTCCCAGGGTGATCTGGACCAGTCCTCACTCTCCCAGGGTGATCTGGACCAGTCCTCACTCTCCCAGGGTGATCTGGACCAGTCCTCACTCTCCCAGGGTGATCTGGACCAGTCCTCACTCTCCCAGGGTGATCTGGACCAGTCCTCACTCTCCCAGGGTGATCTGGACCAGTCCTCACTCTCCCAGGGTGATCTGGACCAGTCCTCACTCTATTTTATTAAATGTTTTGAAAAGGAGACTGAATATAAAGTTTGTGGTCGAGAAACAAGAAGTTAATTGGGTTTGAAGAATTGTAGAACTTGGACTAAATTTATATTTACAAACTATCAGCAAGAAATTGTCTAGTTGAGTTGTTAATAATTTATTTATTTTCTAGTCGAAGTATCCCAGTATGCTGCTCATTTACTCCCAGTTTGTGTGTGAAATTGTGTAAAATTGTGTGAATTGTGTGAAATTGCAGTAAGGGGGGGGGGGGGTTGCCACACACCTGGTACCAGGTAGAGTTACACATCTGACCTTAGCCGTGACTCGGAAGCTGATCTTTTGACCTCTTCGCCTGCCAGCTACCCCCACACACACTGCTGCAAATTAGAAGCAAAAACTCATTACACCTCTGCTAGTGCTGTGTCCCCACCCCCTCCCTCTCCTCTCTCTCTCCTATTCCTTATTTACTCTCTCCTCTCCCTTCCCCACACACCACATTCGTCTCTTCTTCCTCCCCGCCACCTTCCTCTTTACCAGACCCCCCGCTGTAACGTATTTAAATATTGAATGAAAATGAATGAAAACTTTAGAATCTCAAGGGGGTGTGGGGAGTTGTGTAGAGGTGGAAGGGAAGAGTGAGGAGTATGGCCAGGGGACAGGGAAAGTTAGGGAGAGAGGGAGAGAATGAAAACAACGAGGAAAGTAGAAGATAATAGAGTAGTAGAAACACCTTAAAGCTCAACTCATCAAAGTCTTTGAGCCTAAGTTTGATATAGATGTGTGTGTGTGTGTGTCTGAGACAGTTGCCAGCCGGCCTGACAGCTTGTTCTAGCTGCGGCCTCGCGACAAGCGATCTATCTCTCTGTCCTGCTCAATGTCAATCCTGTGTCGCATGTACAGTTCCCTAGGTATTTATGGGGAGGAACCGGGAGTTAAGCTCCACCTACTAAGTAGATAGCCTCAGGCCACCTACCTACCACGCCTGAACAGCGGTTTGTTTGATACGAAAACACCACCAACAGTCTGCAGTTATCGTCTTAGCAGAAAGCAAGGTCACTTCACACGACCCCAAAGCAACCTCTGACCATTAAATCTCAAGGTGTAACTTCTTAATTACTATAGACAGACAGTCTGGCGCCTCACATATCATGTATAACTGACTCTCGTATGTAAAATAATGTACAAAACACAATTATGGTGTTACACGGCTGCCCCTGGAGTACGAATGTGTACATTGGTATTGTCTTAGTAGCATGTTTGGGGGATTTGTGCATTTTGTTGGTTTTAATAATCAGTTTTTCGCAAACTGGAACTAGGTGTGAAAAGTAAACACTTTATTAGTTCTGTAAATACATTTACAGAGACTATTGTTCTCTCTCTCTCCACCCCCCGTCACGGAGGCCAGTGTCCCCCCCTGTCTCCTTCCCGTCGTCACGGAGACCAGTGTCCCCCCCTGTCTCCTCCCCCGTCACGGAGACCAGTGTCCCCCCCTGTCTCCTCCCCCCCGTCACGGAGACCAGTGTCCCCCCTGTCTCCTCCCCCGTCACGGAGACCAGTGTCCCCCCTGTCTCCTCCCCCGTCACGGAGACCAGTGTCCCCCCCCCCCCCCCGTCTCCTACCCCGTCACGGAGACCAGTGTCACCGGTGTAGCCGCTGGGATATTCAAGAGCCAGCCCCGCCAGGTCGGAGGATTTATATTAAATTAGGTTATTTGTGCGTGGTGACAGCGCGCGCGCGGGCGCATATTGAACAACACAACACCCTTTAATTAGGAAGGAAATCCACCTGCATTGTTCTTCCTGTTCCTCCTATCCAAACCCGTCGAAAATCAGCATTACGAAACCTTTACATCCGTCCTGAATCATGGCGGCTTTTTTCTACGTTTATTAAGCCGTTTATGAACTCCGAGGCACCGGGAGGTTATATTTTACAATAATAACCTTGGGTTGTGAGTTGTCGAAGGCCTTATAAGTTGTTTAATAACTGTAAACGAAGTATATATAGAAGTACGGAACGATGTACAGGTTTCGTAGGAGTTGATGAAATAGCTCGAGCTGGAGGTAGTCATTGGTCAGTCTGTTATTTGTTGAATTTTTTTAAATTTCATGATTATTTCTTTCTACGGTGACAGTGACGTCATGGCTGCAGTGTGACGTCATTGTTACGGTGTCAGTGACGTCATTGTTAGAGTACTCACCTAGTTGTGTTTGCGTGGGTTGAGCTCTGGCTCTTTGGTCCCGCCTCTCAACTGTCAATCAACTGGTGTACAGATTCCTGAGCCTACTGGGCTCTATCATATCCACATTTGAAACTGTGTATGGAGTCAGCCTCCACCACATCACTTCCTAGTGCATTCCATTTACTAACTACTGACACTGAAAAAGTTCTTTCTTATGACTCTGTGGCTCATTTGGGTACTCAGCTTCCACCTTGTCCCCTTGTTCGTGTACCACCCGTGTTAAATAATCCATCCTTGTCTACCCTGTCAATTCCCCTGAGAATCTTGTATGTGGTGATCATGTTTCTCCGAGCCCTTCTGTCTTCCAGCGACGTGAGGTGCAGTTCCCTCAGCATTTCCTCGTAACTCATGCCTCTTAGTTCTGGGACTAGCCTTATGGCATACCTCTGAACTTTTTCCAGTTTCGTCTTGTGCTTGACAAGGTATGGGCTCCATGCTGGGGCCGCATACTCCAGGATTGGTCTTACATATGTGGTATACAAGGTTCTGAAAGATTCCTTACACAAGTTTCTGAAGGCAGTTCTGATGTTAGCCAGCCTCGCATACGCCGCTGATGTTATTATTTTGATGTGGGCTTCAGGAGACAGGTTTGGTGTGATATCAACCCCTACGTCTTTCTCTGTTCGTCTCGTGAAGGACTTCATCTCCCATTCTGTATTCAGTGTCTGGCCTCCTATTTCCTGCCCCCTAGTTTAATTACCTTACATTTACTTGTGTTGAACTTTAGTAGTCATTTGTTGGACCATTCAGTCAGTTTGGTTAGGCCATCTTGTAGCCTCATACTATCTTCCTCCGTCTTAATCCTCCTCATAAACAAGTGTGACGTCACTGTTATGGTGTCTCCACACTCCACCCTTCTTGGCATTACTTATTGAACCATATAGTCGTTGTATTCC